AACGTCTTACTGATGCCTTCCGTGGAGCTCCCTATCAGGCAACGAAGCGTGCGAGGGGTGTGCCGAAATTTGGGCGGCGGTGCCACGCGAACTTTCCCACTGTGGCCGCAGGTGGGGTTCCTGGGGCCACGAAATGTATGAGGGGTGTGCCGAAATGGGGTGGCGGTGGCATGCGCACGTTGCCGCCACATGGGGCCTTAGGTGGAGCTCCCTATGGGGCCACGAAACGTGTGAGGGGTGTGCCGAAATGGGGCGGCGGTGCCACGCGAACTTTCCCACTGGTGCCTTAGGTGGGGCTCCCTATGAGGCCACGGAGCGTCTGAAGGGTGTGCCGAAATGGGGCGGCGGTGGCATGCGAACTTTCCCACTGGAGCTTGCGGTGGAGCTCCCTATGGGGCCACGCAGCGTGTGAGGAGTGTGCCGAAATGGGGCGGTGGTGCCATGCGAACTTTCCCACTGGGGCCTCAGGTGGAGCTCCCTATGGGCCGTGGGGCCACGAAACGTCTGAGGGGTGTGCCGAACTGAGGCCGCGGTGGCATGCGAAGTTTCCCACTGGGGCTTGCGGTGGAGCTCCCTACGGGGCCACGCAGCGTGTGAGGAGTGTCCCGCTATGAGGCGGCGGTGCCATGCACACTTTCCTGATGGGGCCTCAGGTGGAGTTCCCTCTGGGGCCACGAAACCTGTGAGGAGTGTGTCGAAATGGGGCCGCGTTGCCATGCACACGTTCCTGATGGGGCCTCAGGTGGAGCTCCATATGGGGCAACGAAACGTGTGAGGGGTGTGCCTAAATGGGATGGCATGCGGAGGGCAGAGGCAGGGGTTGGAGGAGGAAGGGGAGGGAGGAGGGGGAGGAGGAAGGAGGATCGCGGGGCGCTGTCCCTTCAGAGCGAGGACCCAACACCACAGGAAGGTCGGGAAATACTTGTTGTTGATCCCCCCTTCCTTGTAACCGTTGTATTTGTTCAATTCAAGTGCTTCTCCTGGGGCTCGCAACATTTTCTTAGAAGGGAAGCGAGGTGTCACCAGACTGCGCCCCTGGCCCCCTGTTTGCAACAACAGCGGCTTCCGGCGGATACTTCCTCACAGTTTGTTATCAAATGGCGCTCTCGCGCGGGACGTCCTCACAAGTTATGCAGAAGTCGTATTCTCGCGTGGGACTTCCTCGCAAGTTATTCAACACCGCGCCCCCGCCACTTAGGAATCACGCTGTCGCTGTATATGTCCGTGCGATTTATTCGGGAGTCGCGACGTCGTTCAAGATTTCCTCGCGATTCATTCAGGGCGCACGCTTTAGCAACCTGCCTGCTCGACCTGGCCGCCTGGGCCCGCCTCCCTGACCCGCCTGTTAGGGTCCACCCGCCCGATCTGCCCGTCTGGTTCTGCCACGTGTTTCCTGTTCCTAGCCCCACTTCTTCTACTTTCTCTCGTGCTTGGACTCCATCCTTCTCTCTCCTCCTTGTCCCTTCCTTCCATCCGTCCTCTCTTCCCCTGCCTTAGGGGCTGCACGACAAACACGCAGCAGGTATGAAAGATGTACCCCAAATGGGGGTACGATCGAAGACGAGGAGGGGTGGTATCGAGGGTTGGGGATGTACGTGTTGAATGGTACGCGAGCAAATGAGGGCGAACAGTCTTAACATGCTTGTTGCTGTTGCTGCTGCTGCTGTTGCGGCTGCTGCTGCTGCTGTTGTTTATGTTGTTACTGTTGTTGTTGTTGCTGCATGTATTGTTTTCGTTGTCGTTGTTGTTGTTGTTGTTGTTGTTGTTGTTGTTGTTGTTGTTGTTGTTGTTGTTGTTGTTGTTGTTGTTGTTGTTGTTGTATGGTTGTTGTTGTTGTTGTTGTTGTTGTTGTTGTTGCTGCTGCTGCTGTTGAACATTATTTATTCTAAAGAATAATTATTGTTGGGCCCCCTGGTGCGCGCCCCCCCTGCGCCGCCTAGGCCGCAGCTACATTTTCATCATTTTCGTGAGGAAGCCTCAGAAAAGAGGGTGTGTACAGGATCCGGTTGTTTTGTTGTAATCCGCTTTCCCTTGCAAAAAACAATAGAAAATGACATTTCTTGTTCTAATATAATCAAATTTCAAGAATCCCTTGCAAAAAATAAGGTAAAGTGGACATTCGCGCGCGCAAGACGAAATCCTTCCAAAACTTAGTGTTCGGAGCGATTTTAACATAAAAACATCAAAAAACCAATGGTTTTTCAACAAAAAAATGTCAAAATCTCATCCCGCGCGCTCTTGCGGATTCGTAGGAAACCCAACACTTTTTAAACATTTCTGTCAAACGGGCTTTTGCGAGCAACTTTTTCGAACTTCTGCGACAACGGTTGCGCACCTGCCAGGGCCATCATCCCTGTCAAATAATACCATGCGGGACACATTCGTTTTTTCTTCGCGCGCGCACGCCGTCGTCGTCGGCCGCGGGGCCCTGAATAGTAGCCACGGTCGTCCGCATGCCACGAAGTGAAGTGTCCGAACGTCATAGGGCGGGAAGCTGGGTGTGGGTGGTGGCGAAGAGTCGTTTGGAAATTTGGTAGAGCTTGAACCGGCCCCCCCACAAAGTGGGGGTATTGGCGGGCCTCCTATGAAAACCCTGGCACTGGTGAGAACGGAGTGTCCCCAGTCTTAAATGATTGTTGTTGTTGAACATTATTAATTCTAAAGAATAATTATTGTTGGGCCCCCTGGTGCGCGCCCCCCCCGCCGCGCCTAGGCCGCAGCCACGTTTTCATCATTTTCGTGAGGAAGCCTCAGGTAATTCGAGTTGATCAAGATCCGGTTGTTTTGTTGTAATCCGTTTTCCCTTGCAAAAAACACTATAAAATGACATTTCTTGTTCTAATATAATCAAATTTCAAGAATCCCTTGCAAAAAATAAGGTAAAGTGGACATTCGCGCGCGCAAGACGAAATCCTTCCAAAAGCTTAGTGTTCGGAACGATTTTAACATAAAAACATCAAAAAACCAATGGTTTTTCAACAAAAAAATGTCAAAATCTCATCCCGCGCGCTCTTGCGGATTCGTAGGAAACCCAACACTTTTTAAACATTTCTGTCAAACGGGCTTTTGCGAGCAACTTTTTCGAACTTCTGCGACAACGGTTGCGCACCTGCCAGGGCCATCATCCCTGTCAAATAATACCATGCGGGACACATTCGTCTCTCTGTATTATGTATTGTATGGCACAATTGCACCATGCTGGGCACATGCGCGCCCCGAATAAGTGACCAAGTTCTGTGGGTGTGTACCCCACGCCAGTGTAGTAGCCACGGTCGTCCGCACGCCACGAAGTGAAGTGTCCCAACGTCATAGGGCGGGAAGCTGGGTTTGGGTGGTCGCGAAGAGTCGTTTGGATATTTGGTAGAGCTTGTAATGCCCCCCCACGAAGTGGGGGTATTGCCTGGTGTCGTATGAAAACCCTGGCACTGGGGAGAACACCACGCGTTCGGGTAAAATGATTGTTGTTGTTGTTGTTGTTGTGTTGTTGTGTTGTTGTTGTGTTGTTGTTGTTGTTGTTGGTGTTGTTGTTGTTGAACATTATTTATTCTAAAGAATAATTATTGTTGGGCCCCCTGGTGCGCGCCCCCCCTGCGCCGCCTAGGCCGCAGCTACATTTTCATCATTTTCGTGAGGAAGCCTCAGAAAAGAGGTGTGTACAGGATCCGGTTGTTTTGTTGTAATCCGTTTTCCCTTGCAAAAAACAATAGAAAAAATGACATTTCTTGTTCTAATATAATCAAATTTCAAGAATCCCTTGCAAAAAATAAGGTAAAGTGGACATTCGCGCGCGCAAGACGAAATCCTTCCAAAACCTTAGTGTTCGCAGCGATTTTAACATAAAAACATCAAAAAACCAATGGTTTTTCAACAAAAAAATGTCAAAATCTCATCCCGCGCGCTCTTGCGGATTCGTAGGAAACCCAACACTTTTTAAACATTTCTGTCAAACGGGCTTTTGCGAGCAACTTTTTCGAACTTCTGCGACAACGGTTGCGCACCTGCCAGGGCCATCATCCCTGTCAAATAATACCATGCGGGACACATTCGTTTTTTCTTCGCGCGCGCACGCCGTCGTCGTCGGCCGCGGGGCCCTGAATAGTAGCCACGGTCGTCCGCATGCCACGAAGTGAAGTGTCCGAACGTCATAGGGCGGGAAGCTGGGTGTGGGTGGTGGCGAAGAGTCGTTTGGAAATTTGGTAGAGCTTGAACCGGCCCCCCCACAAAGTGGGGGTATTGCCCGCCTCCTATGAAAACCCTGGCACTGGTGAGAACGGAGTGTCCCCACGTGCTAGTAATTGTTGTTGTTGTTGTTGTTGTTGTCGTTGTTGTTGTTGTTGTTGTTGTTGTTGTTGTTGCTGCTGCTGCTGCTGTTGTTGTTGTTGTTGTTGCTGTTGTTGTTGTTGTTGTTGTTGTGGTTGTTGTTGGTGGTGGTGGCGGTGTTGGTGTTGGTGTTGTTGTTGAGGTCGCATTTCTAAAGCATAACAGTTGTTGATCCCCCTCAGGGACATATATATATATAAATTAAATTGCTCTTCCCGGGGCACGCGCTTTTCTTTGCAAGGGAAGCAAGGGGGCACCAAACTGGGCCCTTGGCCCCCGAGTTACAAGAACAACGGCTCCCGCCTGATACCTCCTCACATTTTTCAGTTGTGTTCGAAATCGCGCTCTCGCGCGGGACATCCTCACAATTTTGCAGGAATCGCGCTCTCGCGTGGGACGTCCTCGCAAGTTATTCAAACACCGCGCCTCCGACACTTAGGAATCACGCTCTCGCTGTGCAATTCCTCACGGTTAATTTGGGAATAGCGCTGTCGCTCAAGACTTCTTCGCGATTCATGCAGGACGCACGCTTCAGCAACCCGCTTGTTCGACCTGGCCGCCTGGGCCCGCACGTTAGGGTCTACCCGCCCGATATCCCCTGTCTGGTTCTGCCACGTGTTTCTTGTTCCTAGCCCCCCTCCTGCTACCCTCTCTCGTGCTTAATCCTCCTCCCTCCTCCTCGACCCTTTCTTTCGTCCGTCCTCTCTTCCCTTGCGTTGATCAGGGCCTCGGGCCATGACGACCGTGGAGCCCGCGTCCGTGCACGAGCACAGCAAGCACCGCAGCATGAGCACTTTGAGCAACGAGACCCCTGCCGCGTCTCGCGAGTCGACATTCATCTGGACATCCATCGCCCGGTTGGGCTTCGCCGCGCGCAAAAGGGTGCCGTGCCGGGTGCTCGGCATCGCCAGTTGGAGGAACGTGCCCAGCCAACACAGTTTCGACCAGAAGACCCATCAGACGAAGTACAGTCGGGGCCCTGAAGAAGGAACCCTTTTCGTTGGGGAGGGGCTCGGCGTTCCTTGATTGTGTCAAAGTTTGCCTCGGGTTTTCCGGAGGTTTTCCATGGGAAATCGAGGTTGAGCTTATGTAGGGGGCCACATGTAAACCCTACCCCTACCCCCCACGATTTCTGAGGGGGAGTGTGGGTTTCACTTCGTTCGGGAGCTCCCGAGCGAAAAAGGGGCCTCGCTCCTTATTTAGGGTTTCTTAGGCCAACGCCCCGACTGTATTCACGGCCAGTCCCCCCAGCTTCTGGGCCACCGACGTCGGCCCCTACCGCGGCGTATTGCCGCCTGTCATCCCTACGGAACCACGGCCTCTGCTGCGGCCTCCGACGGCCCCCTGCCCCTCGAGTCCCCCCTGCCCGACGTCTTCCACAGCGGCCCCCGCGACCCTCGGTCGCAGGGTCGCGGGGGATCTGGTTTGAGATTTTCTCTCTCGGCGAGATTCGGTTTGAGTTTTTTGGGGATTCCTGGGGGTGCGAGAGGTCTTCGACGCACCCGATCTAACCCTCGACCCCACGGCCCAGGTCGAGCTCCTGATGGCCGCATGCCTGGAGAGGGGGCCCGTGTGGGGTGGGGCGGGGGGCAGACCCGGGGGAAAGGCCACGGGGGCCGCTGGCCGGCCCGGAGCGGGCGCCGCCTCCTTCCGCGCGGCCGGGTCGACATCCCGATGGGCCGCATGCCCTGAGAGGGAGCCCGCAGGAGGCATGCCAAAGAACACACAGAACCGAAGGCGCCCCTGGAGCTCCCACCCCCCGACCACCCCAAGACCACGCCAACCCGAATGCCCCCGCAGCCCACCACCAAGACGGCGCCCCACGACGGCCACGCTGCCGTCCCAACGACGGCCCTTCAACGCGGCCTCCACGATGGCCCCCGCGGCGGACCCAGCGTCAGAGCCCTCCACTTCCCGCCGCGACGGCGACGAGAACGACGTCCGCCACGACGAAACCCCTCCTCCCTGCGACGCCGACCCCAGCGACCCCCAGGCCGGGCGCGCGGACAGACCGTCGGTTGGCCGAACCGACGCCTCTCCCGACGCTCTCCCCGACGTCACCCCCGACGCCCAACCCGACGCCCCGCCCTGCCACCTGCCCGACGTTGCGCCCGACGGCCAGGGGGGCGGCGACGAGGGCGACGGCGCTCCCTCCCCCAGGACCCCTCGCCCCGACGGCCCCCGCGACGACCCCCACCACCCGAACTGGCGACCCAACGACGCCCGCGACGCTCACCTGCGATCGCCCCGCACCCTCCCGCGACGCCTCGCCGCCACGACCCGAGAACCCCTGCCCCCGGCGCCGAGCCCGACGCCCCAGCCCGCGCCCTTCCCGACGCTGCGCCGTGCGGCCTCCCCACGCCCGGCCCCCCCGGTGAACCCACCTCGGCTGCGCGACTCGTGCTGCCCACGCGGACGGCCGGCCGGCGCGCGGGGACGCCCCTCCGACCCGCCCCGAGCCTGCTCCAGCGGGCGCCCCGAGGCCTCTCCCCGCGACGCTGCCGACCACGACGACGACGACGACGACGACGACGACGACGACGACGACGACGACGACGACGACGACGACGACGACGACGACGACGACGACGACGACGACGACGACGACGACCCGACGCCTCCTGCTCCCTCCTCCTCCTCCCTCCTCCTCCTCCCTCCTCCTCCCTCCTCCTCTCTCCTCCTCCTCCTCCTCCTCCTCCTCCTCCTCCTCGTCCTCCTCGTCCTCCTCCTCCTCCTCCTCCTCCTCCTCCTCCCTCCTCCTCCTCCTCTGTCCCACGGCTTACCACGACGACCCAACGTCCCGCCTTATTCCCAGCCCTGCGCCCCGACCGGCTCCCCACACGACGCTTCGCCCGACGACCGCCCCGCGCCCGACGCCCTGCCCGCTGCCACAGCTGACTCTCCACCCGAGTCCGACGGCCCCGACGCACGACCCCTGCCCCGCGATGCGATGCCCGTGCCCCTGACGCCCCACCCCACGCGCCACCCCACGCCCCCTTGTGGATGACATCCACCCCATGGGACCTCGAGGCCTGCTGGACCCAACGCGTCCTCGCCATCGCCAACACCGCCGCCAGCGCTCACATCAACGGCTTTTCCTGGCACCGGCGCCATCGACGCCCAGATCCAGCATCTCCACGACGAGTGCCGACGGGTCAAGATGGCCCGGCAGCAACAGCTCCAGAATATTCGGGAGATGGAGGCAGAACTCCACACGCTAGGCCACCTAGCGGCCGACCTGACGCACGCGCCTGGCGCCCATCTGGCCCCTCCTTCCGACGAGCCTCCCGGCAGCAGGCCTAATTGGCGCGTGCGATTCGCCGACGCGCCTTCGACCGCGCCGGCCTCCCACCTAAGCAGGCATGGGTGGCTGCCGAGGGCAGGGAACAGCTGCATCCTGCAGCGACGACCCCGGCCTACTACTCGGTCAAGTCTGGTCCTTCTCTTCCCCCCCCCGCCGCAGGGGCAGCTGGCCCGTGGCGCGGGCCAGGTCCATTCCTGGATCGCCACTGACGCACCCCTGCGAAGACCTCCCCACCGCAGCCCACCATTCCCCACGCACCCGATTTCCTCCCCACGACCACCCCTTCCACCCCACCGCCACCGACGGCAGAGCCTGCGGGGAACGCCAACGTCCGCAGCGACTCCTCGTCACCCGGGCGCCGGCGTCGTCGACGCGGCCCTGAAGGGCTGGCACCCGCCCAGGAAAGGAGGAGGAGGGTCATTCTACAGAGGGGGCGCGCATCAAGAAACCATGTGCTTTTCGTCTGGGTATCCTGGGTTTCTCTTCGCTCCTCGCGCTGCGCGGTGACTTCCCGCAGCCGTTGAAGGAGCTGCTGCGTTCAGGGTGCTCCAGCTTTTCCCCTCAGGTGCAACTCGCGCACGGGTTCTCAGGGTTGGCTATCTTGCAAGGGTTTCTTGCGGCCGCACCCGCACTGTAGGGGGAGCGGGGTAGGAGCTTGAGAAGGCGACCGACCAGCGATCATCCACGTAACGTCCCAGTGGCCGGAGCTGTCCCCCCCTCTTTCTCTCCATCCCCCCTTCCGTCCTCTCCTCCTCCCCTCGCTCTCCTCTCGAGGTGCTGCGCTGGGCTCTCTGGGCTTGGGAGGTCCCTTCCCCTTTTTGTTCGCCTGGCTCCGCCGTGTTCGCTGCGCCTCTGGGTCCCTCGTCCGCGCTTCCTCCTGCTTTGTCTGCCGCTCCCCCTCGTGTCGTCTCCTCGTCGTTTGTCGTCTGGGCCCCCCCTTGTCATCTGGCGGCCGGAGGCGGCCGGCGCTCATCCCCCCCCCCCCCCCAGCTAGCTGAAGCCCTGCGGCGCTGGGGGCCGAGGAGGAGAGGAGGAGGGGAGGAGGGAGGAGGGAGGAGGGAGGAGGGAGGGAGGAGGATAGGAGGAGGGAGGAGAGGGAGGAGGAGGAGGAGGAGGAGAGGAGGAGGAGGGAGGAGGAGGAGGAGGAGGAGGAGGAGGAGGAGGAGGAGGAGGAGGGGAGAGAGGAGGAGGGCTCCAGGCTCCGACGAGCCGGTGCAGTCCGCAGCTCCGAGCTCCGAGGGGGCGGGGGCCAGAGGAGGCCCAGGACGCCCAAGATGCGTCACCACCCTCACCACTGCCACCACCATCCCGATCGCCCATCACTCACCACCCATCGCTCGTCACCCACCACCCACCACCCTCTTCTTCGAGGAGGGGGGAGGAGGAAAACGAGGACGAGGAGGAGGAGGAGGAGGAAGGGAGGAGGAGGAAGGAGGAGCAAGGAGAGGAGAGGAGCAGAAGGAGCAGGAGGAGAGGAGGAGGAGTAGGAGGAAGGGAGAGGAGAGGAGAAGGAGGAGGAGGAGAGGAGGAGGGCGACGAGAAGGAGGAGGAGAAGGAGGAAGAGAAACCAGGGGAGAAAAGGAGGGGGAGGAGGATGAGAGGAGGAGGAGAGGAGGAGCAGGAGGAGGAGGAAGGAGGAGGAGGAGGAGGGAGGAGGAGGAGGAGGAGGGAGGCGCGAGGAGCAGGAGGAGCAGGATAAGAGAGGATGAGAGGAAAGGGGAGGAGGGAGGCGCGAGGAGCAGGAGGAGCATGCAGGAGATGGAGAAGGAGGAGGAGGGGACAGGAGGAGGAGGAGGAGAAGGGAGGAGGAGGTCCTCGAGAAGGAAGGGTACTCCGCGCCCCCTCGAGGTGGGACAGCCCCCGCGCGAGGCGCGTGCGTAACCCGGACTACCGGCCGCTCGTCCTCGCCCCGGGCGGCGCCGGCGCCGCGGGCGGCTGGTGAGGCGCCTCCAGTGCTAAGCTCTGTGGCCACATAGGTAGCTCTTCCGAACGCTCCTCCTGCTCCTCCTCCTCCTCCTCCTCCTTCCTGCTCCTCCTCCTCCTCCTCCTCCTCCTGCTCCTCCTCCTCCTGCTCCTCCTCCTCCTGTGACCGCAGTCGCATCCCCCCCCCAGTACAGCGTTTCGTGCCCCCCTATAAAGGTGGCTCCACCTGAGGCCCCAGTGGTCGCAGTCCGCATGCGTCTTCCTCACCCAGTACAGCGCTCTGTGGCCACATGGGGAGCTTCACCGATGGCCCCAGTGGCCGCAGCCCGCATGCGTCTCCCCCATCCAGTACGGCGTTTTGTGGCCCCACAGGGGGGTTTCACCGAAGGCCGCAGTGGCCGCTGCTGCATGCGGTTCCTCCGCTTTGCACAGCGCTTCGCGGCCCCATGGGGGATGCGCCTCCCCCATCCATTCTGGCACACCCCTCGCGTATTTCGTGGTCCCAGAGGGACCCCCACCGTACATTTGTATTCACAACGCGGGGCTCACAACTGCATATACCATCCTGTAGTGTAGTGTGGGGCCCCCGTTTTGAAGAGGCAGCGCCCCGCGTTCCCCACTCACTTCTCCTTCCTCCTCCTTCCTGTCCTCCTTCCGTCGCCCCCTTCTGCCCTCTGCCCCCCGCATGTCGCTGTTTCGGTTTACCCCGCACGTTTCGTGGCCGCATTGGGAGCGCCAATGAAGGCCCCACTGGCGCAGTCCGCATGCGTC